TATCTCACTCTGTAAGAATGAACCCCAATCCTGGGCACACCACCTTCGTGAGCAACATGATCTGGCTCTAACTTCGGTGGACTCTTATTCACAGCAATGGCACAACTCTATGCTGATCCGTTCCTGCGTCAGACTGCTGAATCTATGCTCAGCAAGTTAGAGCAGGGCCAAAGGCCTGTTGAGGAATATGTTACCGATTTCCGCATCTGGAGTTCCGATACTCAATGGAATGAGTCTACTCTCTGCTACCAGTTCCGTCTTGGCCTTTCTGACACCCTGAAAGATGAGCTTGCCCGAGTGGGGGTACCAACCAGGCCGGATAACCTGATAGACCTGACTATCCACATTGGCCATCGGATTTGGGAAAGACAGGATGAGAAAACTAATGGGGAGATTCTGATATATTCAGAAATGGGGATCCCTGTGCCCCCCACAACTGCTGTTCCATCAGAGTTACTCATTAATAAAAGAAAACATCTTAATCCATCTAGAAGGAGCTTTTGGAGACCACAGTTGTCCGCTGCAGAATGTATTCGACGACAGAAGTTAAATCTCTGTCTCTACTGTGGTGACGCAGGTCATTATGTAGGGACGTGTCCAATAAGACCTCATAAGCCCTCTCCCAGCTTCTCCTCATATTCACAGGATGACTGGGTAGCTCTCTTTCCATTAGCAGAGTTCACATACGATAATTCCATTCACTCGGCTACCAAGCAATCCCCCTTTTACTCCAACTATGGATATCACCCCTCCTTCCTTCCGGAAATACCAGTGGAACCCGCTGTCCCGGCAGTACAAGAAAGGATGGAGTTCCTCAGGTGGAACGGTGAAATATTGCAAAAAACTATTTCCGAAGCTCAGGCGAGTAACAAAAAAGTTTTTGACAGAAGGAGAAGGGGCAACTTAAAACTGAAACAAGGGGATAAAGTCTAGTTATCCACGGCAAATCTAAAATTGAATTGTCCTTTGAGAAAGCTTGGTCCAAGATACCTGGGACCATTTACTATCAAGAGAAAGATTAACCCTGTAGCTGTTGAATTAAAACTACCTGTTATATGAAGATTCATCCGGTGTTCCATTGCTCCTTGCTAAAACCACATATTCCAAGTGGATTTCCCAATCGAGATCCGGAGGCGCCTGCTCCACTGCTGGTTGAGGAAAATGAAGAATACGAGGTTGAGGCTATCTTGAATTATAGGAAGACGGGTGGACAGGCCCAGTTTCTCATTAAATCCCAACAACGGTACCACCTGCCTGGAGTTTGTATGTTCTCTCTGTGCCTGCGTGGGTTTCCTCCGGGTACTCCGGTTTCCTCCCACACTCCAAAGACATGCTGGTAGGTGAATTGCTCCTGTCTAAATTGGCCCTAGTATGTGTATGTATGAATGTGAGTTAGGGACCTTAGATTGTACACCCCTTGAGGGTTAGGGACTGATGTGAATGTACAATATGTATGTAAAGCACTGCGTAAATTGATGGCGCTATATAAGTACCTGAAATAAACAAATAAATAAATAAATGGAAAGGTAATGGTCCAGAGGATAATTCCTGGGAGCCATCCACTAATGTCCATGCCCCACAGATAGTTCAAGCCTACCTCCATCTTCACCCTGAAAAACGAGTCCTAGTGGGCATCTGGAGGCTGCCCCTAAGGGGGGGGCAATGTAAGGGATTTCTGGCAAGACGAATCGAGATCGGAAATTCGCATGCGCATAGGAATTCGCAGAGAAGAATTACCGGTTGTGCGCATGCGCACAGAAATGCACGATCGTGCACGTGCACATGCACGGCGAAGATTGGCGCCAGACGACCTATTTAAAGAGTGTCTCTGCTCATGTTGAGTGCTGACTGGTCTTCAGCTCCCCTGTGTCCTGCTTGTTCCTGTGTGATTCTTTTGTTGCTGACCCGGCTTGTTCCTCATCTGACTCTGATTGCTCTCCTGATTGATACTGGTTCCTGACTTCGGCTCTGCTCCTGACCTTGGCTTTCATTCTGATTCTGTACCGCGCTGCCTGACTGTTGACCCTGGCTATTCCCATGACACTGCTCCTGTCTCTTACCCTCACTACGTGCCTTGCTCTGGTGCACGCCTGGCAATCTACAAGATCTGCTTTGCTTGTTACTACTGTGCCTAAATCAGAAGATCATCGGTCTTCCAGAGTCATCATCTGCAAGAGCTGCAAACAACAACTACTGGCACTCTTGTTCCCTGGGTCCTAGACTCCTTCTGTTCAAACTCCAGTGGGGTCAGGGCTAGTGACACAAGTGAGGCCGACCTCATCATTTCAGTCTCCTATCAGGTAAGTGACAGGTGAAGACTGTCTGGAATGTGATATACTTCACAGGGGTCAGCACTGGCACGCTCTACTACCTTTTTACTGTGATTGTTGGATGCAGGGCACTCTCTAAAACCACTGCTGCAGTAAATTGTTAGGGCTTTGCCATTTTTTGGAGCCTGGTTAGTATTACTCTTGTCTCATGCTACATCCCCCAACTGGGTTAACACTCTGAAAATGTCTGTGCTGCAAACACAATTGAATGTGTCACAAGCCCTCTGAGGACACAGCACTACGCATCCTGCATTTGTTACTATGCTAAACTGGTCTGTGTCTCTCATGTCCTGGTTACTAGGTGTGCTGCATATACGTAGCTTGTCACATGCAAGCATTTACACTTCCTGTCCTGCCTTCAGTATATTTCACTGCTGGTTTCAAGCAAGAATCACAGAGACAGTTCATCTTGTTTCTGCTTCACAGTGGCATGGTCATAGATGGATGTATAACCATCCCGTTTCCATAGCTGGTTTGTGAGAACCCATTGCTGGGAATTTAACACCTTTACACACCTGAAGTATTTCAGATCATAAGCGCAAAGGAAATAGTCCTGCACGCCTTTGCTCATTGCGAACCATTAACACCTCTGGGTCCACTTACAGTATCCTCCCTCAAGGACCTGATGCCAACAGCCTGGACCATTGTACTCTGTCCACACACTCTTCTGAGTCTTTCCTAGCTCCTTCAGTGAGGACTCACTCCTCTGCCTTATCCAGGAAGGAATTTTATATACCAAATTTATGCCATGATAGCTGACTCAGAAGGCATTGGACATCTCCTCCAGAGTCTGTCTCTGATATGCCTGCAGCTGCAGCTGCTTCTGTACACTTGGTTGAGGATTATGAGGAGTGTAATCTGTGATTTCTGTTGGTGAGATTGTTCCTAAGGAAACTCAGTCTGCTTACATGAATCAGAGGCTTAAAGATACTATATCAGATTTTATGGATGCAGTACTCATATGTTTAGAACTGGAGCAACCTGTGTCTTGATTCTCTGAAGTTACCATTCCGTGCTCCCTTAAAAACCTGTCAAAACCTTCCCAGTACACTTGCTACTGCTACCTGTTTTGTGTGGTGACTGGCCTAATCCTAACAAGCTAGTTTCTCTTCCCAAGCATGTTACTGAGCAATACCCTATTGCAGTGATGGCGAACCTTTTTGAGCCCGAGTGCCCAAACTGCAACCCAAAACCAACTTATTTCTTTCAAAGTGCCAACACTGCAATGAAACCTGAATATCGAGCTTTTGGTTTAGAAAAAACAACTCGTACAGTAGTGCAAACTAATTAACAGTACAGGGATGACCAGAGACTGCGGACACAGTACAGGGATGACCAGAGACTGCGGACACAGTACAGGGATGACCAGAGACTGCGGACAGTACAGGGATGACCAGAGACTGCGGACACAGTACAGGGATGACCAGAGACTGCGGACACAGTACAGGGATGACCAGAGACTGCGGACACAGTACAGGAGATGACCAGAGACTGCGGACAGTACAGGGATGACCAGAGACTGCGGACAGTACAGGGATGACCAGAGACTGCGGACACAGTACAGGGATGACCAGAGACTGCAGACACAGTACAGGGATGACCAGAGACTGCGGACAGTACAGGGATGACCAGAGACTGCGGACACAGTACAGGGATGACCAGAGACTGCGGACACAGTACAGGAGATGACCAGAGACTGCGGACAGTACAGGGATGACCAGAGACTGCGGACACAGTACAGGAGATGACCAGAGACTGCGGACACAGTACAGGGATGACCAGAGACTGCGGACACAGTACAGGGATGACCAGAGACTGCGGACAGTACAGGAGATGACCAGAGACTGCGGACAGTACAGGAGATGACCAGAGACTGCGGACACAGTACAGGAGATGACCAGAGACTGCGGACACAGTACAGGAGATGACCAGAGACTGCGAACAGTACAGGAGATGACCAGAGACTGCGAACAGTACAGGAGATGACCAGAGACTGCGGACAGTACAGGAGATGACCAGAGACTGCGGACAGTACAGGGATGACCAGAGACTGCGGACACAGTACAGGGATGACCAGAGACTGCGGACAGTACAGGGATGACCAGAGACTGCGGACACAGTACAGGGATGACCAGAGACTGCGGACACAGTACAGGGATGACCAGTGACTGCGGACAGTACAGGGATGACCAGAGACTGCGGAAAGTACAGGAGATGACCAGAGACTGCGGACAGTACAGGGATGACCAGAGACTGCGGACATAGTACAGGGATGACCAGTGACTGCGGACATTACAGGGATGACCAGAGACTGCGGACAGTACAGGGATGACCAGAGACTGCGGACACAGTACAGGGATGACCAGAGACTGCGGACAGTACAGGGATGACCAGAGACTGCGGACACAGTACAGGGATGACCAGAGACTGCGGACAGTACAGGGGATGACCAGAGACTGCGGACAGCACAGGGATGACCAGAGACTGCGGACACAGTACAGGGATGACCAGAGACTGCGGACAGCACAGGGATGACCAGAGACTGCGGACAGTACAGGAGATGACCAGAGACTGCGGACAGTACAGGGGATGACCAGAGACTGCGGACAGCACAGGGATGACCAGAGACTGCGGACACAGTACAGGGATGATCAGAGACTGCGGACAGCACAGGGATGACCAGAGACTGCGGACAGTACAGGAGATGACCAGAGACTTCGGACAGTACAGGGGATGACCAGAGACTGCGGACAGCACAGGGATGACCAGAGACTGCGGACACAGTACAGGGATGACCAGAGACTGCGGACAGCACAGGGATGACCAGAGACTGCGGACAGTACAGGAGATGACCAGAGACTGCGGACAGTACAGGGGATGACCAGAGACTGCGGACAGTACAGGGATGACCAGAGACTGAGGACAGCACAGGGATGACCAGAGACTGCGAACAGTACAGAGATGACTGCTGACCTTTGGGGAGGGAGGGGGAGCGGGGAGCGGGTACCTTAATTTGACAGGTACCCGCTCTTACTTCCGCAGAGTTTTTTTTTTATCTTACCTGTTCCTTTATCCTTTATCCAGCCGCGCGCTGTCTTCCCGGCTTCTGTAGTGTGGGCGCTCGTCGGACAGCCGGATGCCCAGTGCGCATGCGCGAGAAGCGCTGCGCTTTGTGATTGGTCCGGCGGCTTCTGGGATCTGTCATGTGTCCCAGGTACCGCCTTACCATTCACAAAGGGCACTGCTTCTTGTGCATGCGCACTTGGGACCCGGCTGTCACGCACACTACAGCCGGGAAGACAGCGCGCCGCTGGATTCTCCTGGCGTGCCCACAGATAAGGCTCGGCGTGCCGGCTGTGGCACGCGTGCCACGGGTTCGCCATCACTGCCCTATTGAGTAGACATTTCTTAGTAAGTCCTGTTGAAGACCTTCCTGTGTTTAAGAAACCTCTTGCCAAAAGACAGGAAAGCCTTGATAAGCCCTTGTTCTCCTTAGCAAGCCCTGTCAAGCAACCTGTCACTGCTGTCAAGCCTATCCGCCTAATCTTGGGGGTATGATCCCAGAATATGGCTAGCGATAATGCACTATTCCCAATGCACATATTCCTGCAGAGTGGCTGTAGTGTAAGATGGGTGTTGCAACAACCACAGCTGGACTTGCAGATAATCAAAGTGAAAGAATGTCACCAGCACACCATGGATCTTCAGAATGGGTACAAAGATTTATTCAGTGATCAGATCTTTGTAACATAAGTAACATTTCAGAGCCTCGCAGGACCTATTTATCAGGGTGACACCCAAACTTTGCTTATGGTACAAAGATGTGATCACAGAATATGAATAGAGCACCTAAATTGATCTTAACTGATTATTCAATTCTAAAACAACTGGAATTCATGCCTGTTGCCCTATACTATTGTGTTGCTGGGCTAGTCAATATAGTAAATATTGATATGTTGATATAGTACATATCCAGATCCAGAATGGGTCTCCTCTCCGTGCACATGCAATAAACCCTTTGACTAAAATGATGGTCTGTGGAACAACAGTGCAAAATCACTGTTTGCGTTTACCCTTTGTTGGTGAATGATTATTTGGCATCTCCTTGGACCACTATCAAGATGTTGCCAGTTGAAAGAGCACCTTTTTGTCCAAGCAAAGGAAAACTCAGGCTGGCAAACCTCTTCTCTCTGATGCTAAAAATAAATAAATAATTGCATTTGTTTCTCTCAATTCTCCAAGTCCTAGTCAGGGACTCAATTCCATTGCAAGCCTTGTACACCCAAGTCTTCCAAACCTGCGAGCAAATCCTCCCCACAATGAGCCCCACTTCTTAAAGCTAAGGTATGTCTATTGGCCTTTGTACCCGGAAGCAACTTATATGCATAGGTAAAATATGTTAGTTCCAGGGGCTGCAAGCTTCAATTTCAATCTCTACCTCCACCTAACTTTGTGTTGTGAAACCTACCAATGTCTTCACAACGACTAACAAGCCTCCATGAGGCCCTGTGCAAATTCTCTTTCAGAAGTCATTGACATTGTTCCGGAAAAAGGTAAGTTTCAAGGTTTTTACTATTTTTAAACCTATTCGTTGTTCCTATAGTAAAAGGGGACATATGGTCTACTCTGGACATAAAAGCATTCAATGCCTTCATTTGAGTGTACAAATTCTAACTGGAACCCACCAGGTAAGTCATTACTTCCCACCTTTTGGGGAGACTTTCTACCCCCATTTTTCAGTGGAAACACAACACTACCTGATTATTGCTTTCCTTTTGATATGTGCACTGCTACATAGGTATTCACTAAGGTGTTAGCTTCCTTGCATTTACAAGCCTTTCTCATTTTGGGATATCTTGACAACCTCTTGCTGAGAGAACAGTCAGCTCAGGCCCTGTCAACCAATGCCCAAGGTACTGTTCAGACTCTTCACAAGTTTGGTTGGAGTTGGACTGAAACTTCAGAAGTCAGTGCTGGAACTGATCTATCACTTAGAATATCTAAGTCTTCTCCTAGATATTGCTATATCCAATTTCCTCTGCAAGACAAACTCCTGACTCTCCATTTCCTGTATCCAGACTCTGCAGTGCAGGAGCCATCTCTCTTCTCTTGTATGAGAGTTCTGGTTTTGATGGTGACCTCCTTCGAGGCAGTTCCATATGCTCTATTTCACTCCAGACTGTTGTAACTCAACATTTTGCCTATGTGTGACAAGAAAAACAAATCTCTGGTTTAATCCATTTTCCTGACAATCAGCCAAAGGAAGCTTATCTCTCCATAAATATACTTGAGCTATGAGCAGTTTGGTTATTCCTTTATAGCTTGACCTCTCAACTGAATAGTCACAGCACAGGACAGTTGGACATGACATACCAGTGGCATGCATTAACCATCAGGGGGAAACCAGACGTCTTGCTATTCAAAGGGAAGCTGACTAGATTCTGACTTGGGTGGAAATATACATTTAGGCCTTGTCTGCAATGCACATTCCAAATTTGGACAATTGGCTGGTGAACTTCCTCAATTAACAATACATGGACTCAAGATAATGGTTTGTTTACCTAGAGATGCTTCAGAATCATTGTTGCTGGTGGGAACCCCAGATGTAGACTTCCTAAATTCCAGAATCAATAAAAAAGTAGAAAGTTTGTCTCATGATGCAGGAAACCTCTAGCTATTGCAGTGGATGCTTTGGTAACAGCTTTGGATCAGTTCAACCTGCTCTATGACATTCCTTCTCTAAAGCGTCTACTTCATCGTCTCCACAGGATCGAGATGGTGGGCATCCCAACTATTCACATTACATCAAACTGGCCCAGACAGGTGTGGTACCTAAAACCTAGTCAGACTTTTGGAAGACTTTCTGGGCCCTTCCAGGTCATCCAGGTCTTCTGCCCAAAGACTGGTTTGGCATCTCGATTTTCATTTGCTGGCTTTTACAGCTTGGATGTTGAAGAAAAATTCCTAATAGAAGAGGTTTGGTTATGGTGCAAGGCACAGAAGTTTCATCCCAAAAAGAACTGTGTGGGGTGCATTCTTATCTTTCTGAAGTTTGGTCCAGATCAACCTTTGGCCTGGAGTACTGTCTCAAGGGACATATTTCATCTCTAGAAACTCCTTATTCCTTGATAAAGGCCCTTGTACAGGATGTTGCTCATATTGTTTCATCTGTACATATTCCGTGACTCCATGGAATCTCAAATTGGTTCTGTTGGCTCTTCAAAAACCACCTTTGAACCTATCAGAGGTATTCCTTGGTCTACTCTCAATCACAAGGTGGCATTCCTTATTGTTATCACCTCTGTAAGATGAGTTTGTGAGTTGTCTGCGTTGTCCTGCAAATAAACGTGTCTTGTTTCACTCAGGGACAAGACTGTCTTGAGGTCTAGGGCCTCTTTTCTTTTTAAGGTGGTTCCTTTCTTTCACATTTGCCAGGACATTATACTTCCTTCTTTCTGTTCTTATCTGGTACATCCCAAGGATATTTTACTCCATCGCTTGTATGTGGTACTAGCTGTTTTATTTTTATCTGTCAGCTACATCTTTCAGAGTTATTAACTCTCTTTTTCATTATTCCTGAAGGTCCCTGTAAGAGACAACCTGCCTCTGGTATCAACATTTCTAGTTGGCTCAGACAGCTTATTATTCAAGTTTATGGGATTAAGGATAAAGTTACATCTTTTCCTGTCAGGGCACACTCTGCTAGACCAGCAAGTGCCTCCTGTTTTTTTTCAGCATCATGCTTCTGTTTCCCAGATTTTCAGGGTTGCCACCAGGTCCTCTGTTCACACATTCTCTAAGTTTTACAAGGTGGATGTTTAGGCCCCAGCTAATGCAGGCTTTGAAGGTAAGGTCCTTCAGGCAGGATTCTGTTTTTTTACACCGTTGGTTTTTTGGGGCTTGTTAGAGTTTAATTTGCAGTCACAACCCCTCAATTGAACTGCTTTTAGATGTCCCAGTTGTCACAAAATTACTTCTTACTCTAGGTCCTTTAATGAACAATTGAAGTAGAACTGAAGGCAAAACATGTTTCATTTTGGACAGAGTAAGGGAGGGTTATAAACCCATATCTGCCTTGATGGACTTTGATGTATTGATCTGATGTATCTTTAATGCTTTGCACAGCATTTTCGTCATACATTTTTTTTTTTCTTTGAAATATTTATTCATGTTTTGATGTACTGATGTCATGCACTTTTTTTTATTTGCAGATTATATGTTATGGTATAATTTATTCATCTTTACGTATTATTTTTTTTGTAGTGCTGTATGCTGCATATAAAGTTTTTTTAATATCATGCAGATGTTTATATAGCAGCTTAGGATGAGGGGGTTTAGGGTGAGCACATGATTTTTTGCTTTCTGAGTTTGATAATTAGTCTTGAAAATGGCCAGAATTCAACAACAAGATTCACCCCCTATAGGCTTCAATGGTATTTGCCTCTATTTTGGGGTTTGCTGAACTTTGAACAAGATTTACCAAATCAAACCTGGCCGATTTGCCTATCACTCTCTGGCAGTAATAATTCTTCCCTAGGCACACCTTAATGATAGCTCCTTTTAGTACAAGCTCCATCCTTTGTGTCATGTGACTTTTTTTAGTTAAAACTATTTCTAGAATGCATTTTGAGGCAGAATGCTGCTTACTGAATATGTGGAACTACTTTTCAATTACTGTGACTTACTATGTAGACCACCACACAAGAAAAGCTAGGAATGGTTTCCAAACATTAAAGATACTTCTGAGTACTGTAAACCCCCCTTTCTCTTCAACTTTTTTGCTGAATTTAGCCACATTTGTAAAGAGGGCCAAAAGAGGAATAAAAAAAATTAAATGTACTGCCACTACTGTCTAACATGTCAATGCCAGCTGTAAGGGCAGTAAAGCCACTTTACAAAGTGGATATATAAGGTGAGAGATACATTACCTTGCAATCAGAAAGTCTTAGTAAACTAAGCCTACATCATTTGGT